GAGTGTAAACTGAATATTTTCCACATATGTGTCAGAAAATAGACGCACGCCGAGGCGAGGACCCCGATGTGGTTTCTAGTTCAATCAGACAGCGTCTGCGAGCACCTGGAGTCTGTGCTATTTTTACTGCTCCTGACTAGAGTTGCTTTGTTCTTCTGAATAGAGAAGGCGAGGTACATTTCTCTCTCTCTCTCTCTCTCTTTCCGTGCCCTGTAGCATTGTGACATTAGATTGATCAGTAATACAGTCAGAGGGGTGTAGTGTGACTCAGGCCTGTGTGTGTGTGTGTGTGTGTGTGTGTGTGTGTGTGTGTGTGTGTGTGCTTTTAGGAATGAACTCTATTTCAAAAAACAAAAGCAAACATGATTGTTTGGCAATGAACATTGTCCTGTAAATTTAAAGGAATAGTTCACACCAAAATAACAATTTGCTGAAAATGTACTTATCCTCAGGCCATCCAATATGTAGATGAGTTTGTTTCTTCATCTGATTTGAAGAAATGTAGCATTACTTTACTTGTTCACCAGTGATCCTCTGCAGTGAATGGGTGCCGTCAGAATCCAAACAGCTGACAAAAACATCACAATAATCCACAACTAATCAACACCACTCCAGTCCATCAATTAACATCTTGTGAAGCGGAAATCTGTGTGTTTGTAAGAAACAAATCCACTATTTATATACATTTTTAACTTCAAACCATTGCTTAAATCAAGTCTGTTATACATAATATTGATTTGTCACATACAAAAAAGTTGTCTTGTCTGATTAAGGAGTGAAATATGCACAGATCAAGCATCATTACAAGCAGAAATGGTGGATTTTGATGTGAGAGGAAAACAAGGGACTTATTATGGATTATAATCTATTTTGATCCGAAACGGTTGTTTAAAGTTAAAATGCCTGAATGATGGATTTGTTTCTTACAAAAATGCATCTTTTCACTTCACAAGACATTAATTGATGGACTGGAGTGGATTACTTGTGGATTATTGTGATGTTTTTATCAGCTGTTTGGACTCTGATTCTGACGGCACCCATTCACTGCAGAGGATCCATTGGTGAGCAAGTGATGTAATGCTACATTTCTCCAAATCTGTTCAGATGACGAAACAAACTCATCTACATCTCGGATAACCTTAGAGTGAATACATTTTAAGTCATTTTTAATTTTGGGGTTAACCTTTCCGTTAAAAGCTTTGTTTTGACGTGACGCAATGAGCAAGGTTTTAAACATATGAGGCGTTAAAGCAAACAGACGTTTTATTCGAAGTGCATTACGTTCTGTTCCTGGAACACTCGTTCACTCCTGGAACACTTCCATGTTCTGAAAGTATTTTAAAGTCTCCGCTTTTTCATCTCCTACTATTCTTGAGTCTGTTATTGATCAGCTGAGATGGTTTACTGCGTGTGTCATAACGTGACCCACTATATTACCGGCACACAGCTGTGAGTCTAGGAATTCTGACATTTACCACCGTCATCACCATCATCATCAGCGAGGGGGCGGGGCTTACCAGGTGCCCACAGTGCACATATATTAGATTAGTGTCAAGGCTTTTTATGTGAAAGAGCCTGTGTCATGTCGTGTGTGTGTGTGTGTGTGTGTGTGTGCTGGTGTTTGCGGTATATATTAAGAAATGCGTTGGTCAGCAAGGAATTTCTGTCAGGAATCCAGGAAGCACCTGCATCTGTGACTAGAGCAAAAAACTCATGTGGGTTCCACTGTGATTTTTTTAATCCTATAACATACATACATCAGGAAGGTATTTCACACACACACACACACACACACAGGCTGTGGATAGAGAAGAAAGGGAATGACTCACACAGGGAGAAGCAAATCAGGGTTTCTAAAATGAGACAAACCCTTACATGGTACAATACCTTACCATGGTATTTTGAAATATACCACAATATTTGAATCATTATCATATGTGACCCAGGACCACAAAACCAGTCATAAGGGTCCAACTGAGATTTATACATCATCTGAAAGCTGAAAATCTGGAATCTGAGGGTGAAAAATAAAAAATGTAATTAAAATAAAATAGAAAAAAAAAAACTATAATAAACTAATAAAAATGGCAAAAGCACATAACAAATTTACACATTTTTTTATTTATTATATGATGCCTTGATTGTATTAAACTTTCTTGCAGAAATATATATATTTTTTTCTCATAATGCCTTCACAATCCTGTTACAGGGAAGTCATACAGACAAGCACTCACTCCTGTGGGCTACATGCACATGGTAACATACAATTACACACAATCTTCACCTCCCATTCATTTTGCCAATGCTAGGTTGGAGTGTGAGGGCGAGCGGGCCGTGTGTGTCACCCCAACACACTGTGATGTCATCAGCCCAGAGATTACACAGGGCCATATGGGGTGATGGCCTGCCACAGTAATCCTCCAGCAGCCTGCTCTTCCTGTCACACACAAACACACAGACACACTCACTCTCTCCTCACCACGGGGTGCATTCTGGGAAACGATGGGCCCTTACCAGTGAAAACCATTGCTCATATAAGCTAATAAGACACTATTTTGATTCACTACTTGATTATTTTCCACAGTGTACATGTACAGTGAGCAAAAAGAAATGTCTCTTGTGTATTTCCATGGCTGGTGAGGGATGTGACATATAATCGCATTAGAGGTCCTGGGATTATGAAGAGCGGATATAGGACAGGTGGATAGAGAGAAGCGAAAGTTTATTGCGTGATACTTACCATTCCCTAGCGCTGCCAAGACAATGTTATTCATTATTTTGATGTCTAAATTCAACATAGCACATGTGCATCACGGAGATGTCTATTTGATGTCTGCATTTACATCTGCAAGATGTATTTTTTACAGTGTTTGCTCATCTGCAATACGTCCATAGGACATTTCCTATCAGATGTCAAATAGACGTTTATTAGAAGATGTTTATGATTTAGAACGTGTGTAAAACTGACATCTTAAAGACGTCTGTCAGATGTTTGTACACAGCAAATGCTTTCCAGATCAAGCGATCTTTAACAGACATCTTACAGACGTAAGTGTGATATCTGGGTATATTTATCCTATTCTTTCTTTTTGGAATAGAAGTACTAACCCAACAAATAACCCCACATATACCTCTAAATATTTTCTGTTATTTCCAGGAAAAAGGATCTGAATGACAAGAAAATAACACAATATGTGCAGCGCGGTGATGAACTGATGATTTCAATGTTAAAGGGTTCACCCAAAACTGAAAATTCTGTCATTAATTAGTCACCCTCATGTCGTTCCAAGCCCGTAAGACCTTCGTTCATCTTCAGAACACAAAGATATTTTTGATGAAAACTGAGAGCTCTGACCCTGCATAGACAGCAACGCAACTGAAATGTTCCCAGACCCAGAAACATACACTCTAAAAAAATGCTGGGTTAAAAACAACCCAACTTGAGTTATTTGGCAACCCAGCACTGGGTAAATATTGGACAGAACACATGCTGGGTTATTTTGACCCAGCTGGTTGGGTTAATGTTTTTACCCAACATGCTTGGTTGTATTATTTAAGTCGACTATTGTTTAAAAATTATTATATTGCTGCCTGTGTGTTCCTGAAATCTGAGCCGGTGTATATATATATATATATATATATATATATACTCTAAAAAATGCTGGGTTAAAAACAACCCAACTTGGTTGATTTGGCAACCCAGTGCTGGGTAAATATTGGACAGAACACATGCTGGGTTATTTTGACCCAGCTGGTTGGGTTAATGTTTTTACCCAACATGCTTGGTTGTATTATTTAAGTCGACTATTGTTTAAAAATTATTATATTGCTGCCTGTGTGTTCCTGAAATCTGAGCCGGTGATGGGCTGCTGTTCGCGGGAGAACTGCGAACTTTAGGCCGTGGCCTCGCATTTCACTCGTAGCTGAAAGATGCCGTTTACCCAGCACTGGGTTGTATTTAACCCAGCATTTTTTAGAGTGTAGAGGACCCAAAAAACCCACGATCTGATTAAAGGGTTACTCCACCCCAAAATGAAAAATTTGTCATACATCACTTACCCCCATGTGTTCCAACCCCGTAAAAGCTTCGTTCATCTTCGGAAGACAATTTAATCCATAAACAAACAGTACTGAGATTAGAGAACATATTTTAATATCAAATTAAAATAAAAGTATTATAACGAATAAAATCCATTTATGTTATGCAAGGCAAAAGGCGTTTCATCATGCGAAGTGACCGACATCTCGTCCTTATGTTGTGTTGTGTAAAATAATACAATTTATAGTACAGCAAAGACTTATAAATGAAATAAAATATATACAAACCTTTATTTTGCTGAAGAAGTGCGCCTAATCGAGACTGAGA